AGGTGAACTGGGCGGCTGTGTGCAGGCGCAAAACTGACCCTGCATCCGCGGTTGGGAAAGTGCCCAACCTGTGTAACGTCGGGCGAGGGCCAGCGCGGATCCAAGTCTTTCCACTGTGACACTAGAAGGCGCAGTGTCATGCTATCAAGGATGGCAAGGCGGGTAGAAGAAAGAGCAACCAGATCGGCAACAATCAAACGGTTGGAAACTTTAATAAATATCTTAGCGTTGTGTCAGTCGTATTTGGGGGGGCAGTGCCAGAATGCGTAGCTAGGGAAGGCGACTGTGAATGGCGGCCGTATGGAGTCGGATCGAGTACCAAAGCAAACTGATTGCTCCTTGGATTCGCCTAGCGCAAGAGGAACCTGTCCACCCCAGACGGGCGCTGCTGCTTGGAAGGCTCTCTGCAACAAAGATTTTGGGGTTACACTGGCCGTTGCAATTTTAATCATGATACGAATCCTGACCATCATCTCAACTGGCCTAATCACTCTTTCAACAACAATACTCGCCTTGTCAATATTGGCACGCTCCCATTAGAAATCTTCAAGGGGCTTTTGAATTCCGAAGTCGCGTCGTTGCTTGAGCTTCCCGGTATATCTGAAGACTATGCATTTCAGTCAGCTGTGCCAAAGCATTCTGATCCCACGGCAGAGATCTGGGTTACCGTCGATGCGCTTGAGAACTCCCTCGACTGCCAACCTACTGAACTGAACATGACGGGATATATACGTACACACTTCATCGACTACCCTTCGCATTCAGTCGATTCATTGTTTGATACTGGATGGGGGCTCTCCTTCACGATACCAAACTGCAGCTCAGAAGAAATGTCAATATATGGAAATCTTCAGTGCCACTCTTCTGAAGACTTCTGTACCAGAGCGTACGCACGATTTCTCCCAGTATCATGCAATACAACGACATCTGATGCGAAAAGGAAAGTCTTTGTTGTGTCTGGGAACATGACATATTCCTATACTGCTTTCAAGTACCGGAACGTGACTGACAGATACAAATGAGGATTTGAAGGTGGAAGGATGGACTCAGATGATTTGCACCCCATTCTACTCTATTAAGCCAGTTGACTTCATTTTGAACGGCACGAAAGCTCGAAGCATCTTCCCCGCTCTGCAAGACACACATGCATCAAGTTGGAAGATGGAATCTGTCAGTGCATCTGACATACTAGCGGCTCACCATGCGTCTTACAAAAACGAGGATTTACTCTATTCATACGAAGTCCGGGGTCAGTGGATGGCCGGTCTGTTGATTGCCTGCATCATTCTCTCGTTGCTTCATATGCTTACTGTCCCTTGGAATGGCATCCTGCCATGCAGCCCGGTCACTGCGGCTGGTATTGCGTCGATAATATCCAACAGTCCCGGGCTGATATCGAAGTTACAACTCGCAGGGGCAGCTGATGAGGTGCATTTCAGCAAACTTTTCCAGGATGCCAAGTTTAAGTCAGATGTTGTGATCCATTCAGCGTTTGGCCAGTCCATTTTCATGATTCAGGACAATGAGGGCGAGGTATCCGACAAGAATCGAGGAATTTCGCAAGCCAGATGCAAAAACAGCTATCCAGGCGTTCTTCGCCCGGCTTTACGGTCAACTCTGTGCTTGGTCTTGGTGATGAGCCTTGCGACTCTGGAACTATTACTACACAAATCCACTGAAGAGAATGGCATTGGGAATGTTGGTAGCGACGATGCTTACATCCACTACACATGGACAACCATCCCGGCACTAGTTTTGGGGCTTGTGGGGATGGTCAATTCCTCCGTGGACTCGTCAACTCGATGCCTTGCGCCATACATCGCCCTCAAGAAGAAGGCTGTAGGCGCTGAGTTATTCGCGACGTTCGATTTTCTGGACATTTCTACCATCCGAGCTATTTACAAAGAGATCAAAGTTGGCGATGCCAGAGCTTTAGCTACCACACTGGCGCTTTTGGGTGCAAACTGGTTCACAATCTTTTCAGCATCTCTCTTTCAGGAGCGTTCCATTCCAACGGTACTTTCAGTAACTCTTCAAGCTGACCAATCCTTTTCCACTTACACTGATAGAGATTTCAAAGATTCTACCACCACCTCTTCGCTTCTACTGAATGCTAATCTTTCCTTTCCCAAACTTACGTACGAAGATTTGGCTTTTCCACATTATACGATCATGTCAAATTTAGCCAGCGAAACAGCATTCAAAGCCACTTCTACGATATCCATCAAAAGCACAGTACCAGCGTTGCGCGCAAATTTTAATTGTCGCGCTTACGATTCCACTAAAATCAGTACCAAGATCACTCTTAACTACACCATCGCCGACATATACCCGTATTACGACACTCCCTGTCCAAACCCGTTGACGGTAAAAATTGACGACGAAGTACCGACTATCAGTTATAGAACTATTTTGTATTTTGGCGTTATCTTCTGTACGAATCCAAATGCAACATATTTTGGGGGCTATAAGCCGATATTTGGCTACAGCAGCCACATCTTCATATGGGGTAGAATAAATTATCAGCTTGATCCTATTGTCAGGCACGTTGCTGCCGCTAGTTGCAACATAACTATGGAAACAGTCGATATCGAGACTACTTTCCTCAACATAACCGACCTTCGCCTTGACCCTCGAAACCCGCCCAAGCCGCTTGAACATACGGTGCGTCAGTCAACAAGAGTAGTCATAGGAAGCCAAGCCTCCTACAGTTACCTCGATCTCGCGGTACTGGACACAGGCTCTCAGTCGCTAGATCCCTTCTTTGCGTCGTTGACAACGTCCCCTTGGGCGCTGCCTATCCAGCGCCTGGGTGGAAACGGCGATGATGACGGAAATGACACAAACGCCTCTATCGCATCTTCCTTTACCGAGAACGATGAGGCAGTCCTCAGCGCCATCAAATTCCACAGCGGCATCATGTGGGCTCAGATAGCCTCGAGCCTTCTCATCCCAGCCGACCAGACCAATACAACATTCACCAAACCACAGCCGGGAGAGAACGACGCACAACGGCGGTACAACGCGACAATGACGGACAGCGCTGGCAGACGGCGCGTCATCCAGGACGCTGTGTCTACACGCGTTCTCGAGGCTCTGTTGTTATTTGTCCTGGCAATGGTTTTGCTGAGCTGGGTGGTGATAGGAGACATGGCGGTGCTCGCGAGCAGTCCGACGAGTATCGCGGCCGTAGGGGCGTTAGTTGCAGGGGGGAACTTGATTGACATGATAAAGGATGGGAAGACGTTAGATGAGCAGGGCAAGGGTATGAAGTTCTGGCTGGGCTGGGGGAGAGTGGGGGACGAAGAAAATGAGAATGGGGCGAGTAGGTTTGGAATATTTGCCATTAGGGAGGAGGACATGGACATTAGGGAGGAGGACATGGAGACGGGTGGAGAAGATGGTGAGAATGGTTTGCTTGATAAGGGGAAGGTGGGTGGGATGCAAGTAGGATGGCGACGACGCTTGTTTGGGCAAGGTTGACCAAGTAGCCCCTTGGTGATGGATAGATAATAAGGACACAAAACTTTTGTAAAATGATATTGAGATTACAGGCATTCATGATTCCTTCCTCACGTACAAAACTTCCAAATCAATTAATTACGCTCATCCCTGCCAATCCCCGTCTAATGACTGATCATACACACCCGTTGCCCCACTCATCACTTCGCCTCCTGTCCCAGTTCCCAGTCCCACACACACACACGCACCCCATCAAAATACAAAAAGGGGCTCCCCTGACAATCACAATAACCATAACATCAAAAAGAATGGGTCTGGCCGGGGATTGAACCCGGGACCTCTCGCATATATGCTAAGGGTGTAACCCTAAGCGAGAATCATACCGCTAGACCACCAGACCGAGGAACACAACCGTGGTTGTGATCTGCTTTGATGATGGTTTGGCACAGAGGCTGTGCTTAACAATAGACGACCTAACTTTGTTGATAGCTGACAAGGATGATGACAGTGAAATGTGACCAACACGGTGACTCACTTAATATTATGAAAGACTCAAGGATAAGGTATGAAGGAGCAATGATACTGCACATTTGTCAATTATTACAATGCTTTTGTTAAGTGTTCCATTTTATTGCACTTTAAACACTTTATGTCGGAGTCTATATAACCTTTTAACTTTGTGCACCGAATGATGATGCATCCTGAGGGATGTTATTTTTCACAATCATAACTACTAGACACTTAGAGATTCTGTAACTTAGGAAGCCCAACGGTGAGATATCTGGGCGAAAAGCGGCATTGACCTAGATCATCGATTCATGGAGCTAAACCCTCAGTGTCAAAGCCAATGGTTACCAGATTGCGCTTCGTTTGTAACTTCCAGTCATTCTGACAAAACCTAAGACATGCGGCGATTCTTGCGCCAAATTACGCGACACAAAATAGTTGAAAGAAGATGGGATTGATTCCAGGTTAATGAAAATATTCTGGGACAGAGGCACTGCACTGTCCTCGAATGCCGCCTTGACCTGATGTAGCATCTCTGTCTTCAGCTTTTGCTATGGTTAGTTTCTTTAATCTTATTAAAACGCTGCGTCTATGTCTCGTTAATCTTTTCGTTAGGTTTTTCTTAGGTCTTATGGTGGGTATTGAAAAGACTTCAAGGTTACCTCTTAGCTAAAGACTAGATACTAAATTGGAGTACAATTGAGAGCGGATAGGATAGTTGTTCAGTCATTAATATCCGACAAACTGTGGTCGTCAATCTCTATCTAGTTCCAGTAACTTTGGGAGATTTCCAAGAACCTTGACTGCATGTCTTCCCTCAATTCTCAGTATATCGACTTCTAGTATGAATATTTATTGTCCCCGAGACAAAAGGTTCATAGAGTACTCTCAGGTTTCGTTCATATACTGGATGAGACCCACAAATTCTAGCTCATGCCATTCATAGTCAACGAAGCTCTTCTCCCTCTCTGTGGGTAAAAATATCACGCACAGTACCCCCAGAAGGCAAAAGTGAAGGACAAGTCTTTGCCGGGTCTGGCCGGGGATTGAACCCGGGACCTCTCGCATGCTTTTTAATGGCAATATTGCTACTAGGGTGTACCCTAAGCGAGAATCATACCGCTAGACCACCAGACCTTACTGGACCGAGGAGGCTTAGTAATTGGATATCACTTTTGCTTGTTCCATGGGATTAAGGATGGTGAGTGTGAGTGGTTTTTGTGGGTTGTCCGAGTCATGTTGTGGGTGGAGGTCATGCTTTCACTGACTGGGATCATGTCAGGATTAGAATCTAATTTGGTTATATAACTGAAATAGATAAAAGACCACATCTCGTCCACAAGTATCTTTTGGGACTAACCTGCTTCCTAGTAAAAGGTTCTTCTTGCATCGAGTTTCTAGGGATAGTTAAGGTAGTTGTAACTAACATGATGAGGCAACCGGCCAACACTGACAAATCTTCACTATACGGGATGCGGTAAAGACCACAGATGTCACTACATCCCATAACTCGTCCATCTAATCTAAGAATGCAATGTACCTCAAGGCTAAACATAACATTATCAATACAAGGTATGAAAAGATTGACACGTTATCAGAGAATACCGACACGACAAATGTTGTGAGCGAGGGGCCCAGAGCCTTCAGCCTGCCACGAGGGTAGCAAACAAAAGAAGCAATCTGAGAAAGTAACAACGTACTGTCCATAAAAATGAGGATTATTATAAAAGAGTAATGACGCATTAGCTATTAGTTCCGTAATACCTACCTATTTTGTCTTAAAGCTTAATATATACTCTTAGGTACCAATGCTTGTAGCTAGTATGGGATGAGACCTTCTGTTCTCCTATGTCCATTTTCCCCGAGCCTTTCTTCGCCGCGAGTGGGGCAGATCTAATCGAACTCCTCCGTCGGGACCAAAATTGCAGTGCTGTCTCGTTGCTATGCTGCAGGTGTCGCAGCTCGGCACACACTTCGCTGTGGAGGGGGGGGCTGGGGCCAAGTGCCTTTGTACCTACATCTAACTCCTCTGTCGGGTGCAAAATTGCAGTGCTGTCCCCTTCGTTGCTGGGGTACAAACACCCCTGCCACTTACATCCTATTAGGTTCGATAACCGGGGTGCAAGCTAGTATCTCGTTGAACCCCTAACTTGATGGCCACGACGACGCACATGTCATGACACCTGATGGCTGGCTTAGCTAAGGCTAGGTTGTGTGAGGCCAGTTTCCCTCATTCTTCCAGCTATATGTATCTATTCCATGTCATCACAAGTGCGGCTGCAACTGTTCCCCAGCTTACACGGTAAGAGATCCGTAGCAGCTTCAGCCATTAAAAGCAAAAGAAGAGAAATCCTTGGCGTCAAAATTCCCCTCATTACACCTATTGTGACCCGCTCACTATCCATACATTACCCGTGAAAATCTAGCTATTCCCATCAATACACATTCTTCCCAGCCCAGCCCAGCCCGTAATCCCCCTTGCCCGTATCCTATAGCCATAACTCCCAACACCCACCAACCCACCGCCCTACGAAACACTATCAGCAATAACCCCCTTCATCAACCCATAATTCCCACTATAATCAATCCTCACATCCACCACACAAACCCCCCTAAACGCCAACGCCTCCCTCATCACCCCCTCCATCTCCTCCGCCCTCGTCACCGTCATCCCCTTGGCCCCAAACGCCTCGGCATACTGTTTAAAATCCACGCCCCCCAACTCAACCCCCGCGCTCCTCCCATACTTATCCACCTCCTGAAACTCCACCATATTATACTTGCCATCGTTCCACACGAAATGCGTGATATCGCACCCCTGCTGCACCGCCGTCACGAGCTCCTGCCCGCTGAACAAGAACCCGCCATCGCCACTGACGCTCACCACTTTGCGCGCGCACGGCTCGGGCGTCTGGCAGAGCGAGGCGCCGATCGCCCAGGGGAGCGCAACACCCAGCGTCTGCTGCGCGTTGGAGACGAGAAAGGTCTTGGGCGCGTACGAGTAAAAGTAGCGGCTGAGCCAGATGTAGACGGAGCCGACGTCGGAGATGACAGTCATAGCGGGCGCGATCATGGACTGCAGCAGGCGGATAAAGTACAAAGGGTGGACGGGCCCGCCGCCCGTAGTCGGCGCGGCCGCGTCGGCCGACGTCTGCCAGGCGTGGAACTCGTCGAAGATGGCCTGCGCCGCGGGCGTTTCCTGCGGGCGTGCGATAGAGTTGTTGTTGGATGATAGCGAGCTGGTGAGCGCGGAGATGTTTTGCGTCAGCGACCCGACGAGCTCGAGCTTCGGGTTATAAAAATGTCCCAAGTCAGCGGGCGCCGAGTCCACATGCAGAATATCAAAGCGATTCGCGCCGGGATTCCACATGTTGGCGTCGTACTCGGCCTGGTCGTAGCCGATGGTGACGACGAGGTCGGCGAGCTGGAGGAGCTTGTCGCCCGGCTGGTTGCGGAAGAGGCCGATGCGGCCGAAGAAGAGGTGGACGAGCTCCTCGGAGATGGCGCCGGCGGCCTGAAACGTCTCGACGACCGGGATGGGGTGCCGACGCAAAAAGGTGTGGACAGCCTCCACGACTGGTGTGTCTGCGGCGCGGGCGCCGAGGAACAAGACGGGGAACCTTGCGTTGGCGATCATGGCCGCTGCCTTCTCGAGAGACGCAGCCGGCGAGGGCCCATATTCTGGAGGCATGAAGGCGCTGGCGGGAAAGGTGGGGATGGAGGACTTGACGCCGGCGGTCATGATATCAATGGGCAGGCTGACGGCGGTCGCGCCGCGCGGGTGGGCGTTGGCGACGCGGAAGGCATCGACCATGATCTCGGCGACCTGGTCGGGCATGACGGCGGACATGGCCTTCTTGGTGACGGGCGTCAATAGTTCTAGGGCGCGGAGGCTCTGGTGGGTGCGCTTGGCAGCTTGGGCGCGCTTGACGCTGCCGACGATGGCGACCATGGGGGCGCCCTCGTCAGTGGCTGTGACCAGACCAGTGCAGAGATTACTGGTCCCTGGCCCTGATGTCGCGATGCACACGCCCGGCCGGTCCGTCAGCCTGCCAATGGCGGCGGCGATGAAGGCTGCATTCTGCTCGTGGCGGCACACGACGAGCTTGATCTCGGGGTGGTCGAGCAGGGCGTTGAAGACGGAGTCGATCTTGGCGCCGGGCACGCCAAAGACGTACTTGACCCCGGCTGCGAGGAGCGAGTCGATGACGATCTGCACCGTTTCCGTTTCGGTTGTTGCCATTTTGGTGGATTGGGGTAGCTTATGTTTGAGTGGATATTATTGACTCTCGAGGGATCCAAGACTATTCGGATGGTCGGATTGTCGGAAATGTCTTGAAGATATAGCCTCCATGAATCCATGACTCGCTCAGGATATTCCCGCGCGACGGGATGCGGTCATTGTGCAGCGAAAAAGCTGTCAAAATCCGGCCAGTACCCGTAGGTAGCGGATCAAATCGGGACCGCCGCCCACCAAGTGCCCTGAATAATCCCTTCTCTGCCGCTGAAGCCGACGACGCGACCCAAAAGCGCGCCGCGAGCAACGGCCGTTCCGGGTGAGTGAGTGGGTTGCACAATTAATTTTGCCGATTGCAGCCGCTCGGGTTCCATCTTGGTTCTCGATAAGGTCGGACAGTGACGACAATTTTGTTGCCTTTTTGACGCCCAAAACAAACCCACCACAAACCCCGTCACAACCCGTTCACGCCCATCAACCCAATCACCACCTCCAAAATGGCCGCCCCCAACGAATTCTACCAATTCTCCATCATCTCCGCCCTCATGGACGGCGTCGCCTCCCACGGCATCCCCATCTCGTCCGTCCTCGCCCACGGCGACCACGGCCTCGGCACCTTCCTGCAGATGAACGGCGAGATGATCGTCCTCGACGGCGACGTCTACCAGATGAAGTCCGACGGCACCACCACGCACATCGCCACCCCGCAAGACACCATCACGCCCTTCGCCAGCGTCACGCGCTTCCAGCCCACCTCCACCACGCGCGCCACCGTCTCCAGCAAGCAGGACCTCTCCGCCCTCCTCACCCGCCTCTTCCCCGCAGCCAAGAACCACTTCCTCGCAATCCGCATGGACGGTGTCTTCAAGAGCGTCAACGTGCGCACCGCTGGCGGCCAGCGCGAGCCCAGGGAGAAGATGCCCGCCGTCGCGAACCGCCAGACCGTGCACACGTTTGAAGCCGCAAGGGGCACGATTATTGGCTTTCGCGCGCCCGAGTACGTGATGGGGATCAATGTCGCGGGGGATCATATGCACTTTATCAATGAGGATCGCAAGAGCGGCGGGCACATTCTGGCGTTTGAGACGGAGGGGGATGTGGATGTCAAGGTTGCGCAGCTGTCAAAGTTCCACTTGGACTTGCCGACGGAGGATGACGAGTTTAACGAGGCGTCGCTGGTGGGGGATGCGCAGGGCATTCATGCTGTTGAGGGGTAGAGTGTTTGGGATGCCGTGATACACAGAGACAATCTCGGATGACAGCTTGGGGTTGAGAGATTCGGTGGCGGCAGCATATGTCATAATTAGAGCTCTTGGGACTTGTATGATAGGCGACAATGCAATGGGATGATGGGTAGATGTATTGAACCCGCAGGGTATGCTTCTTCTCATGACAATAATGACAAGAAACTGAGTGTAATTCGGAAGGAAGACTTAGAAAGAGGAAAGAAAATTTCGACCATGAAAATGAAAATAATACAAAAAAGAAACTCCCTCGGTAAGGATTGAACTTACAGCCTCCAGATTAACAGTCTGACGCGCTAGCCAATTGCGCCACGAGGGATTCAATTTCTTGATGTTATGAGGCCACGATTCTCTTCCTATGAAGGATTGGAGTAAGCATGGGAAACGTCTTCCATCTACTGTGCAAGTTGCAAGTGGATATTTCCTTATCGTGGCGGATTTCCATTGCAGATGTTGTGAATTCAAATTGTGTAGGTGGGTTCAGAAATCAATTGTTCGCCTGGCGTGATTGGAGTGAGCCGTTATCATAGGTAGTGCTGGGCTGGGGCAGCTCCTTCCCCGTCGTGCCGTCTGAAGGGCGTGGTGGGGCCGTGGCAAGGTGGGCTCGGCCGCTCGAGCGGGTCTTCGTACAGACAAGCAACACGGTCTGCGTACAT